CCCTGCTGGACCCTGGGGCAAGTCCTGCCTGCGGCATGGGGAGGGGGTAGGACGCACCTTGGAGACAATCTGAAAGCCCAGCTGAGTCACGGCACTCACAAAGGCCCGGATGTCTGCGAAGCGGCTGGCAACCTCTGCCACCTTCAGCATGCCCCTGGGGAGAGGTCAGGTGAGGGGTGAGGGCTGGTTCCTCGAGCCACTGCCCGCATCCCCCACAACTCCTGCTCTGCACAGCTCCTCACTGCCCCTCCCGTATCCTCCACAGCTACTGCTCTGTGCAGTTCCCCTCCGCCACTGCCTGTGACGTTATGAGTGTGATATAACATCTCACTGAAAGGGGACAGGGCCAGACTCACAGACTGACCTGACCCATGGCAGAACTTTAGAGAGACTGGTTAGGAAGATATGTAAATGAGCAGAGCTTTGAAATGCAGCCTGCATAGGGCAGGTGTTTGCTCAGGTCTTGTGATGTAAGCAAACAAGTCTTGTCTATTGCTATAGGTTTGATTCAAAGATCAAAAAAGGAATATTAACATTTAGGATGATACTTGAGTGAAATAGTATTATTGTCTATGGCTGAAGGTTGTGATAAACTGTATCTGAACTGTTTAATGGATAAATTACACTATGCTAATTGCCAGGCTGTTTGGGAGACAGAAAATTAAGCGTATTCTCTCAGGCCAAGAGGCTGCTGGAAAATGTACAGGTTTCAGAGCGGAGCCGTGTTAGTCTGTATCAGCAAAAACAACGAGGCATCCTTGTGGCACCTTAGGCATAAGCTTTCGTGGGCTAGAACCCACTTCATCAGATGCATGGAGTGGAAAATACAGGAGCAGGTATAAATACATGAAAAGATGCGAGTGTGAGGACAGTCTAATGAGACAATTCAATTAACAGCAGGATACCAAGGGAGGAAAAATAACTTCTGAAGTGGTAATGAGAGTGGTCCATTTCAGACTCTGTGGGACCAGCTGCTGCTCCACCCTAACCCCTTCCCCCCACCTCCTCAAAGAGCAGCCCTCTGATACCAAACAGGCTCTGGGGTGATCCTACAACTGGAAACTCCCCACATCTGGGCTCAGGAAGCAGCAACAAGGGGACTCATGCTGCTGTGAAGAGTGGACTGCTCTCAACAGCTGAGTTTCCCCCCCCCTCTGAGCACACGGCAGGAGGAGGGTAAAAATCCCAAACCAATCAGACTAAGTAGCTCACTGCTGCTTGGATGCAGGGCGCAGGGGTTTCTCAGCATGTGCGGGATCCTCAGCTACTTAGCCCGGGTTAGTCCTGAAGGACAAAGGCAGCTTGCTGGTTACAGAGGCCTGTCATACCTTTGGGAAACTAGGACTGCGACGCATTCCCGTGTCTGGCTGGCTGCTCTAACCGCTGGAGTCTCTCTCCCGTTTACATCTGAAGAGAGTCTATCCCAGGACAGGCTAAGAGCATTTTCTTTGGCGTGAAACCCAAAGAGCAGCTGACCTGGGGTGGGTGACGAGCTGAGGAGTAACCTGACTACTGCTGCATGCGGGGAGCTGCGGCTGTCGGTCCCGGGGTGTCAGAGAGACAAGGCGTCATGAACTTTCATTGGACCCACTTCGGTTGATCTGGGAGACCAGTTTTCAAGCCCCACCCCTGAGGGGTGGGGAAGGTCCCCCAGCGTCGCAGCGACTCGCTGCCCTGCAGTGATTCGGGGGGCGAGGCCCGTCTGTCAGAGACGCGCTCTCCTGGGTTTGTGCCCCGGTGCCTCACGGCCCGGCCTCACTCTCCTGCTTTATGCCTCCACCCCTCAGCGTTGTGCTGCTACGCGGCCCCCCAGGTTCTCCCAGGCCCCCGTTACCCTGGCCTCAGCACCCGGTTGGCCTCTTCCAGGATCTCCCGCAGATTGGTGCCCATCAGCGCCAGGCAGAACACGGCGACATCCACAGACTTGTCTGCCAGCGGCACCTGCAAGGCCACCCAGCAGCGTGAACCCCGGGGAACGTAACACAGGGAGACCCCCCCACGTCCCCCTGTACCTGCTCCCTGCAGGCCCATACCCAGCCTCAGCCCCCCGCCTGCCCTACCTTGGCCATGTCGCACACAGTGACACGTGGGCTCAGAGCCACCAGGTCGAATGAGTGAACCTTGTTCCTGACGCTGGTCGCAATCTTGCAGTCGCCGCATCCAAAATCTGCCACCACCAGCGAGGCCGGCCTGAGGGGGCAGCAGAGAGTGGGTGCCAGGCCACGGACCCCCGGCCCTGGTCACAGGGTCCCCGCCAGGGCTCAGCCATGCCCCACCCCTACGCAGGGCCAGGGGTCCCCCAGCAGCACCCACCCGGCCCTGCACTCACCGCCCCTGCAGGTATTGGATAATGCGGTGAACTGGATTCTCGGGCCAGCGCCCCACCTGCCGGGCGAAGCCGCGGTGATAGATGGCGAAGGCAGCAGGGTCGTGCTGGAAGAGCCGGGCTGCCTCCTGGCTGCTGGACGTGTAGAGCTGCTGGTTGATGTAGCGGAAACGGGCTGACTGGAGCCGCTCCTCCATCCGGGCCCGCAGCGCCCCCGAGAGCTCTGACGGGGGCAGTGCCGAGGTCCCCTGCCCCACATCCAGCCCCCCGCCCAGGCTCTGCCCCACATCCAGCCCCACGTCCAGGCTCTGCCCCACATCCAGCCCCACGCCCACTTTGAACTTGTTCTTCTGTCGCCTTTTATTCTTCTGTTTGTTCCTCCACTGCTTCCTGCTCAGCACTGGACCAGGCCCCCCAGGGGCTGCGCTCGTCTCCTGGCTCGGCAGCTCTTTGCTGGGCATGCATGCTTTGTCCCCAGGGGCCTCTGCCGCACAATCTAGGGCGAGAGACAGGCAGGTCGACGCTTAACCGCTGCATCGGCCCAGCGGCCCCCACGCCACTTAGCTCTGGTGAGGATGCTCCGAGGACGCACTCAGCCTGCCTGTCCCGCCGGCAGCGCTGCCTACACAGGGGTCAGGTCGGTCCCACTGTCTGGACTTTTCACCCCCAAGCAACACAGCAACACCGGGATGGGGCTGGGAGGCCTGGCCTTGGTGTGAGGCACCCGCTCAGTGCGCACAGATCAAGGGATTCAGGGTAGAGTCCATCCAGCCCCCCTGCTCCAGGGCTGGCTTGCGCCACGCAGCCCTGCCTGCAAACCCCAGGCCCAGCGCCAGTCGCCCCCAGCCAGTCCCACCTCCGGAAATGTAGCCCCAGGTGGGTGCATCTCCCTGCAGGAAGCTCCCGAGATGCGACTTGGACCCCCCCCACACTCTGCAGTCCCTTGGGAGGGGAGCTGTGCCGGCCCACTCCGTACCTTTCCTCCGTCTCCTGCCAGCTGGGTCTGGCTCCGGCCCTGCCTGGGGAGCGCTGGAGCCGCTTGGAGCCCCTGGGGCGATACGGGGGGAGGAGGCAGCTCTGGGTTTCAGGCCCCGTCTCTGTTTCCTGGGCTGTTTCCTCCCTGCCCGGTCCGCAGAGTCAGACTCAGATTCGCTGTCCCCCGACAGGAGCCCGGTGCTCTGAGGAGGCTCCGTGCAGCTCGAAGCCTCCAGTCGCTGCAGGGTCGCGAGGAGCCGTCTGCGCTGCTTGTGCAAGGAGCCTCTGGGAGGCTGGAGACAGCAGGGGCATCAGTGCTGCCCCCAGAGCTACGGGAGCCCAGGGGTCCACGCTGCTCCCACCCCCACCTGAGGCAAAAGGCATCCCTCTCGCCCGCCCACGGACCTTACCACCCCTCAGCTCTGGCCCCCGCCCCCATTACGACCCGTGCCACCTGCCAGGTGAGTCCACGTCTTTGGAGGGACAGGGGGGCTCACCGGGGGGCAGTGCTGGGCAGGGCGGCGCTGAGGGTGCAGGAGAGCCTGGCTGAGAGCCTCCCCGCCATCCTCCTTGTTCCACCCCACTTCGTCAAACATGGCGCGGCTGCCGGGAACCCGGCCGTCTCTCCGGGCAGCTCCCACTGGCCTAGAACAGAAGAACAGGGGTGAGGCCTCCATGCTGCGTTTCCCTGGAGAGTCAGGGCCAACGGCTCCTGTGTTTCCCCTCAGCAGCTCCCAGCAGCTGCGTTTCGTGGGCGAGACCCGCATCTCCCCCGCCTGCGCAGGTTGTCCGGGGCCCTGCGATTCCCAGCGACAGGCTGCCGGGCACAGAGCAACTGTCGGCAGCGAGGGGGCCCCAGCTTTCCTTCGCAGGTCACCGCACGACACCCCAAGAACCGACGCGCCCTTCACCCCCTGCCAAGGGTCTCCTCTGTGGTCACAAGTTCAGCCCGGCTTCAGCTCAGCAGCCACCCAGCCTATCGGCCTTTCCCCATACCCAAAGGATTGGGGCCCTCTCTGGACCGGGGCCTGTCCATTGGCTGGATCAGGAAAAAGGCCTTGAACCAGTTTAAAACAAGGCAATTTATCCACAAATTCTGTGTCTGTTGGTCAGTGAAGAATCCAGTTTGAGCTACTGCCTGGGCGCAAACTGGATTTGGAGTTGGCTTCGAAGGGCTGATAAAGGAGGAATTACATTAGCACCTCCCCCACTAGAGAACATACACACAACTCTGCAACACCAGGCCTGGGCTACACTGAGAAGTCAGAGCGACAGGTTGCTTAGTGCTGTGAAAAATCCACTCCCCAGAGCAAGCCGACCTAACCCCGGTGCAGACAGCGCCCCAGGACGGGATTAACTCCTCCCTGCCTGCACTGAAGCTGCACCACTGGCATTGTAAGTGTTGACATATACACAGCCACATTTTAAATACAACGGACCCAAAGATGTTAAACGTATTTATTAAGGTTTATCCAGGCGATTGACACAATCCCCCCAAATCTCACCCCCTGGAACCAGGGAGCATTTAATTAGTTCCCTCACTCCCGACCCGCAGCCCCTGCTACCCCAGCCCTGCCCCCCGCAGCTCTGCGGT